TGGAAGCTATAGCCTCCTTCCTCCGCAAAGATCCGTCTATAGATCGGCTCACCGAACGAAACTTCAACCCAATGCATGACTTCGCCCTACCCACCTGTTGCATACTTGTGAGTACTTCAAGTATGGGCAGAACCAAGAGATCAACCAATATAGGATGAGCATGTATGCAGCGGAAGTCTGATAAACGGACTGACTCACATAGACTGACTCACACAGATATCACTCCACACACAAACAATCGTGAGATGGTGGGGTCTGAGCCAATCATAGACGATGCTCAGGCCCCGTACAAACATACACAGATGAAAGGTGGGAGGAGAGACGAAGGAGGTGGGAGATGTAGGCAACACCAGATGTCACCGAGATAGAATCCAGTAGGTCACCGATATGGTAGTCCAAAATGTCATCGAACAAGATCAAAATGTCGTGGACAATAAGTCACCAATGTCGGAGATACAAAGTCCTAATGTAAACGATGTCTGATCTGTGATGCCGCCGAGTATCAACCCCAACAATCTCCAAGTCTCCAATCCGAAGTACCACAGCCTCTTACCACCGAAGTCCAACACTGATCTCTGTCCAACTAGTATCAAGTCTCCAGTCTGAAGAAGAAGAAGAAGTCTGAAGAAGAAGAAGAAGACGTCTGAGGAAGAAGAAGAAGAAGTTTGAAGAAGAAGGGGAGAAGAAGAGATGGTAGAGGAGGAGGAGGTGAGGAGGAGAGAGTCGGGACCGTGGAGGGAGGAGAAACTCCCTCGCCTCCTAGTACCTGGCGATGCTGCACCGACTGCAGGTCGAAGGCGGCTATGGCCGCCGTGCTGCTGACGGTCGCTGCCTGGCTCCTCGCTCGCCGCTGCTGCTGCTCCTCCACGCTGCGCTCAGAATAGCGCTGCGCTAACGCTCCTGCTGCTGAAACGATATGACTGGCGCTCTAGCAGCGTCACGGTGCTCGATGCCTCACAATGAGGCTGGACCGGTATTAAGTACCAGTGGGGCCGAGGCCGGCCTCAATGCTGCGAGGCCTGGCCGTGACCTGAACCGTCGAGATCGTCGATTAGGATCAGATCGGATGGCGGCAGCCTCAAAAGCGCCGCCAGGCCCAAAACGAGAATATTGTTTGGGCCTGCTCGTCGGTCTGGTCCAAGATGTGGCCTTTCGGCCTGCTGTACCCCCAAGTCTGGGCCTTTAGGCCCTACTGTGTCCCCTCGGCCCTAAGTCGGGTCCGCTAGGGCCCGTGTGGCGTCGAAGATGTAACACCACCGCTCTGATGTTCGCAGACGATCTCACAGTCCTTATCCGCGCCAGCAACAGTTCCTTCCAAGCCCTCGTGAAGGCTATGGAGGCATTCCGT